GCTACCAGAGCTCCTAGAAGTTGTTGTTAGGTGCTGTCAATTCATCTCCGACTCATAGCGACCCTATGTACAACAGAAGGAAACACTGCCCTGGTTCTGTGCCAGCCTCACAATCCGTGAGGTACAGATCAGTGTGCAGAAAATCCCTTTTGAGCTTGAATTTTTACGCAAATACGTACAAGTATATAATAATCTTTTCTAAGATTTACAGGTTAACTGTTATGAGTGTTTACCTCTGGGAAAAAGGATGCATAACGGAGGAAGTGTTTTTGAAAAATATCTTCCTAACAGTTTTTTTTAAGGAGCCTTGGTGATGCAACAGTTAAACACTCCGCTGCTAACTGAAAGGTCAGAGATTCGAACCTACCAGCTGCTCCACAGAACAAAGATGAAGCAGCCTGCATCTGTAAAGATTAATAGCCTTAGGCAAGCCTCAGGCAAGGCTATCATTACAGCACTAATACTAACTGTAACTAATTAGTTCATGTATTATTAGTAAAAGACTAGAAACAACCAAAATACCCATCCACAGGAGATTAGATGAATAAATTATGGCGCATCCTCATGCTGGTGTACACTATACAACTGTGAGTAGGAATAAGGAATATGTTTCTGGCCACATCTTTCTTCCGCAGAGTAGCTGGTGGCTTTGAACTGCCGACCTTTTAGTTAGTAGCCAAATGGTTTAACCACTGCACTACCAGAGTGCCTTGAGAAGCAGTAAGCAAACAATGAGATACCGCCTCATTCCAGCACTGATGGCAAGGTTCAACAAGACAGAAAATAACAAATGCTGGTGGGGATGTGGCGAGATTGGGACTCTAATAGATTGCTGGTGGGACTGTGGAGTGATATAACCACTGTGGAAAGCAACATGGCGATTCTTTAGAAAGCTGGAATTGGAGATACCATTTGACCCAGCAATCCCATTACTAGGTATATATCCTAGAGAGGTGAGAAGCAAGATAGGAATAGATATATGCACACTTATGTTCACTGCAGCACTATTGCCAGTAGCAAAAAGATGGAAACAACCTATGTGCCCATCAGTGGAAGAGCAGATGACCAAATTATGGTACATATACATAACGGAATGCTATGTAGCACTAAAGAATAATGTAGAGTCTGCAAAACACCACATAATATGGATGAACTCGAAGGATGTTATGCTGTGTGAAATAAGTCAATCACAGAAGGACAAATATAGTATTTTAGTTCGCTGTTATGGAGGTTCAAGGAAAGGTTTATATATGGAAGGAAACTTTCTTTGTTGATTGCCAGGGGTGGGAGGGAACACTGGGAAAAAAAAAAAAAAGCATTGACCCATGTCACTTTAGTTTTGTGTTATTTCACTGTACATAAATTGTATTTCAATAAAATGTATTTAAAAAAAAAAAAAAAAAGCAGTAAGCACCCCTATAACTTAGACCATGGCATGTAAACACTGTTAAGCATCACCCCCTCAAATCTTTCACCCCAAAGAGAACTAAAGTCCTTGAAAAAAAAACTGGCCAATTTCAGATCAAAGGCAGGAAAAGCACATGGACCAAGGTACTGAAATCCCCCTGGCCAAAGACAGGACAATTTGACCCAATATACCACCTGCAATGGATTAAAATACATAAAGCACACCTGAATCCAAAAGCTTGTAACGATACTGAAACAAAACAAAAGCAAATAAAAAACCTCACTGGTCACCTCTGAAGGTAATTCAATTCATTATTCTGAAAACTGGTTAAAAAAAGGGGAAAATCAAGCATTTATCCTGTTGTTCCCATATAAACTATACCTCCTGGTAACTGAATAGTGAATAAGGAAAAGTTTCTTTTTAAAGAGCCATTCCAGATAACAAATGTTGACTGATAGAATATCACCATTTTGCAATGCCCAATGAAAAAGGCAATGATCGCCAGTGGTTGCATATCACAAGAGAGATTATCAAGTATTACATACCACCTCAAAGAACACATCATTATCTAAAAAGTGTTCTTGATGGAGAGAGAAGAAAAAAAACAAAACCTAAATCTGACTAGGACTCTACATGTATAAAATATTTTATATATAAAAAAATTAGAGAACAGGGCAAAACACTATTGTGCTCACTATGAAATTCTATAGGACAAAACACTCAGTTTATCCAAACAATAAATAGCAAGGGGAAAAAGAGGGGGGGGGAAGACTTAATGAGACTTTGTGCTATTAAGGAGTTATTAATATTTTTAGGTGTGATAATGACATTGTGGTTATATTTCTTTTAGCAGTATGTACTGAAATATTTGTGGATGAAATGCTAGGTTACCTGAGACTTTTCAAAGTAATATGGGAGGGTGAGGTGAAGAAGGAGGGGGTTAAAGATAAAACGTGATTTGACCATGAGCTGATAATTGCTGAGGCTGGATGACAAATTCACTGTACTACTCTGTCCATTTTTGGAAATGGCTGAAATGTTCCATAATAAAATAGAGATGGAGAAAAAAAGGTGGCTGACCAAACCTTGAGATTTTGGTAGAGGTAATCAGAAAGGGGGTCCCCTAGGGTTTTCTGCCTTTGCCCAAACTCTAGCTCCGTAAATAATGATGTTCCTTTCCCTTCCACCCCAGTCCTGGGGAAGCAGACATACCGCAAAGATGAGTGAAATGTCAGTGGTGAGGGCCTGAACTCGATGGAAGGAAGCAATAAGGGTGATGGGAAGGAAACCGTTGGCATCCATTTTTCGTCGCAGGAAGAAGTCTCGCTCTAAATTGTCCACGCTGAAGTAGTATTCACTAAGGGGAGAGGAGAAGAGATACCACTGAGGGATTCCTACACCATTTACAAATATGTCTTCCTTGTTCTGCTGTGCAACCCAGTCACCTCACACAGACTCTGACCTACCCACTTCCCTACTGTACAGTCTTAAGGGCTAAAAAGAAATGTTATCCTTTCATGGCCCCTCGACTTGGTTCAAATCATTCCTCTGCCCTGCACTCCTTTGTATGCCTGACAGACTTCTCATTCTCCTTTAAAACCCAGTTCAAATGCTGTTAGTCACCTTCTGTTCCACTCCTAAAACACTACACACTCTACACACTGCAATTATTCTGCTTGTATGACTTCCCTGCTTAACTATGGACAATATGTCATGGTGGCTAAGAGCAGAAGTTTTACAATGGGGTTGATGTGGATTCAAATCTGTGTTTTGTCACTTACTATTCTGTAAGACTCTGGCCAAATTACTGAGCCTATTTACTTGCCCATAAAATAGGGATAAGAAAAGTTCCACCCTACTTAATTCCTATGAGGTGTAAGATATTAAGTAAGAGAATGCCATAAAGTACTCGGCAGTGAGGCTGACCAATAGCAAGGACTCAAGAAATGTTTGCTAGCATTTTGGCAATGCTGCCATTAAAAATGGAAGCATAAAAGAGGAAAACAGTAATCACCGCCACCAAAGAGAACTTAGAAGAGTGTATGTTTTAGAATCATTCCACTTTCATGGCAAAAACAAAAAGGGGAGGGGTGTGCAACAACATAATTATAAGCTTCTATCTTTTCACAAGAACTATTACCAGTTCTGGGTGGTGAGTTCTAGCCATTTTCCCTTTCTGTTAGTGATAATTTCTAATTTTCTTAAGGTAAATATGGCATTCTGTAACAGAACAATTAACTTTGTGAAAACTCAGTTTAAAGAATGAGAAAGAGATTATCTTTCCTGGGTCCAGCCCAAGGTAGTAGCAATGCTCCTAGTACCATAAGGGCTTGTCCAGCTTTCCCTTAGCCTAAATGCCACCCTCTGGCAGTCCCCAGCCCCCTATCATCTTTCTAGGAAGAAGGCTCCAGGCCTACTCACATCTGGCGCTTGATGTAGTCTTTGAGCAGCTCCTGGTCCACGCTGTAAAGCTCAGTGCTGCTGACATTGTCAAAGTAGTAGGTGATGTTGTTCATATACTTGGGGGTACGAGGTCCCTCTGCAGCATCAAACTTTCGGTAGCCAAACTGGTAGTCAAAATGGGCTATGGGGGAAATGAGTGCAATGAGGGAGAGGAGATCCTGGCCCACCACTCCCGCCGCACCCCCTTGGACATCCCGGAGCCCAAAGGGGCCTCACGTACTTCGAGTGCCACCCCGGCCGCGTCCCCGGCCGCGACCACGCCCCCGTCCACGGCCACGGAAGGAAGCCCGCGCCCCACCAGCCCCATCACTCTTCACACTCGATGTCTCATCCTGGTCGTGCCAGGCAGGCTCCGGTTTGGTCTCTGGTTGCCAGGCTGGGGTGGGGGGGGCCACGGGCACGGGCACGTAGTTGGCAGGCTCAGACCCTATGGGGAGAGGGGGCACTGGGTCAGGCTTGAGGGTAACCCCATGCTCAGGCCCTCCACAGTGGGCAGTGCATACCTTTGATCTCCCCGCGGTTGGCAGAAGTATGTCGAGGCTCTGGCAGGCGAGCGGGGCGCGAGACCAGTTTCTCCCTGGGTGCTTCAGGCTTCATGTCTATTTGCAATGGAACCCATTTGTGTTTGTTCCCTGGGAGACAGCAGGGGCATGTGAGAAAGGCTTAAGGGAGAGGTCCCTTATAGCTCTCCTCCTCTGTCCTGGGCTTCAGGTGAATCATAATCTGGTGACCTAGGGAAAACTTTCCCTACAAAGGAACACTTTTTCACTTCTAAATAAAGAAGCTGGAGAACTCATTGTGATAGACTCCCCAGTGCCTCCCAGTATCAATGTCTCCATGCTCAGAGCATAGTCTATAGGAGGATATGTGGCTGCCCAGAATAAAGACTATACTTTCCAGTTTCCCTGTAGATACATGCTAAATTTCTGCTGATGAGAGCTCTGTGGAAGTAGCCAATTCCAGATTGTGTCCCTAAAAGGAAAGGAGCTACCCATCCCTATTCACCTTCCTAATGGCTAGAATGAGAAGAAATAGCAAGCCATCTTGGATGATGAAGATCCAAGGTCCAACAATGTACAAGTAATTAAAGAGTTGCCACACTAAGCTTGGTCTACTTACTGAGCTGTTAGAAGTCAGAAGTAAGCTCCTAAGATAGTTTAAACAACTGTAACTTTGGAGCTCTGTTAGAGCAGCTAAACCTGCATCCTAATCATTTTGGCAGGACTTGGAAACTCCTGTCTTTAAACAAAACCTTGCCCGGGACACCAATATACGAAGACACAACCAACAGCCCTCTGAAACATGGACCTTGCCATCTTGTTCATGGCTATATAGTCCTACTGCTGAGAATAGGGCAAACCAAACGCTTGTTAAGTAAAGAAAGAAATGCATGGATGGATGACTTAAGTGAGGACTGCTAGCCAAATGGCCTATACCAATCAGCCTCCCACTGGCTTCTAGGGGCACCTGAAATTGACCAGCCCCCAGAGTTCTGACATTTTACATTTCTGCCCTGACCCATTCTCCCAAGTCCTGCTCAAAGTTACTTACCTTTCTTCTTTTGCCCTCCTCGCTGACAGTCCTCGTCCCCATTCTTCTCCTCCCCTGACTCATCTGACTTGGTTTTCGGGCTCTCCTTACTATCGCTCCCTTCTCCCTTCTCTTGTTCCTTCATATCCTTCTTGCCTGGTGGCTTACGGGCAGGCTGAGATTTGTGGGACTGTGGCTGCTGCAAGAAGCAAAGCAACAGGGAGGTAGGACTTGTATGAGAGCCTCTGGGGAAGAAAGGGAGCTCCCTGTCACTAGGACAGGACAAAAGGAGCAGTATTCTAAAATGGCATGTTAGACGCGGATATATTCTAAGATCTTGTTTTCATGCCTGAGATGTTTTTACTGGGAAGCCTGGTCAAAGAGGCTAAGAAATATGAGAAAAGAACTTACCTCCCTAGCTTCCCACATTCTAAGTAACAGGGACAATCCCCAGGACGAGAGGCTGGGACCTAGAAGGGTCAAATGTTTCCTGCCTGCAATAGGACATTGTCCAGGTACAGTCTGGGAAGAAGAGGGGCTGGCTGCTGGCCTGTTCACACCAACCCTGCCTGTGTAATGAAGATGACCACAGCCACTTAGGGATCTCGGTCACCAGGCCAAGGCATTAGGGGGAGAGGACTGACCAGGAGTCCCTCTTCTGCTGTGGCATGGGAGAGCTAATCCTGTTCTTCCTAGCTGAGGAAGAAGGAAGCTTCCTCAAAACATGTGGCCTGGAGGTGGGCACCTGGCCTAAAAACCACTTTCCTGTTTCACCCACAGACAACACAAATGCAGGAATTATCTCAGAGTCAATATGGGGGTTAAATGAGATGATGGAGAGACAGCACCCGACAGTCCCTCATATTACAAAGACTGAAATAATGACAATTCTTAGCTATTTTAATCCTGCTCATATATCAACCACTACTCCTAAAAAGACTGACAAAAGATAAGACCCAAGGCTCTGGAAGCTTGAGAAGGCCCAAAAGTATATGTAGGTAGAGTGCAAATCTGCCTATCCCTCCCCCACAGACTCACCTGCACACTCTTGTGCGCTATCTCTCCTGGTGTGGGCCAGTTGATTGCATCTCCAAAGTCACCAACCTGCAAGGCACATTCTATGAGCGTCCTGGGGGTGACTCTGCCTCTGCCATTCAGCCCTTCACCCAAGATCCAGCTCTACTAAGAGATCAGAGACCAAATCAGCCTATCAGAACCACCCACACTGAAGGCCCAGAAAGGGCTTTGCTACTATTCAGAGAAGATCCAGGACTACATGGCAGCCCAGGTACTCACTAGAACAGGAAAGATGGCTCTATCTCCAAGAAGTCACCGCAAGCTGCCCACTCCCTACTCCTTACCTTACCGCCTTTGCGCTGTTTAGGAACTGCTGCCTTCACAACCTTGGCTGGGGCAGAATGTTCTATGGGTACAAGAAAGGAGAGGTCGGTTTATGTTGAGCCCAGGAACAGAGGGGGCCATCACCAACTGCTCAATTTCATTTACCCCACCTTCATAACATATACAACCAACTTGCAGGTTTCCAGAGGAAGATATGATGGAGAGGGAAAAGAACATATGATTAAACACTAATAACAGCTTCACCAACCTCTTCCTAAAGAAACTGTGAAAAGTGAGAACACGCCAACAGCAGGCAGCAAAAGCTCCAAAAACCAAGACTCTGAGGTGAAAAAGACCTTAAGTGTGGCTCTATACTCTCTTGTAAAATGAGGAATGAAGCCTGGAGAGGGTAAGTCTGTACCAGAGTTGGCCCTGTAATTCAGAGTTTCTGGATCATGGTAGATTTTATAACCTCTGAAAGAGATCCTTTCCAGCTCTAACATTCTACAAGTCTGTGTGTGAGTAGTTCAGGGCTAGCGATTATCAGGAAGGCAACATAAAAACCCTAAGTGGATACTCAAAAGCCTAGGGACCTCTCTAAGCCACCAAACCCCAGAGCTAGCTCTGTCTTCTCTTGACCTATAGTCAAGAGAAAGACTGGCCACTCAGGAAATGTTCGTCTGCCTTCCAAGTTTCCAAAGAAAAAGTGGGCTTTCATTTGACCTAACAATTACAACTTTTGAGATTTATTTATCTTTATGATGTAAGTTAGGTAAGTATTTAAAGTTATATATAAGAATGCCCACCAAAGTTTGTTTACAACTTCAAAAAACTGAATGACTCACATGTCCAACAGTAGAGAACTGACTAAATAAATTAAAATAATGATCTCTACTGACATAAATAGATGAACACAATAAATGAGTAAAGGTTACAAAACAATTCTATCTTGTAAAACAAAATAAATGTCTATGCATATATGTACACATACATAGTAGGAATTAAAAGGACATTGTAGTATTATCAGTAGTTAAGTAGAATGCTTGTTGTTGTTGTTATTTGCCATAGAGTCGGCCCTGACTCCTAGCGACCCCTCCTTGGGTTTCCGAGGCAGTTATCACTACGGAAGTAGGATTGCCCAACCTTCCTTCCGAGGAGTGGCTGGTGGGTTTGAACCTCCAGCCTCCTGGTTAGCAGTCAAGTGCCTTAGGCACTATGCTACCAGAGCTCCCAGTAGAATGCTTATAGTTCAAAATTCTTCAGTAGCTTCTTAAGTTTTAACAGTGAAAGACATAGGACTTTATAGTTCCTTCTTCACCTACACTTGTTCTCCCAGCAAGGTTCTGAAGACCAAGGGTTTCTGACCCGTTCTCCTTCCAGAGACTCACCAGAAAAGACACATCCTGGGTTCTGCTTCCCACTTTCCTCCCATCACCTTGCCTCCGTTCTCGGGCAGCCACTGCCAGGACAAGGGCTACCCCTAGTCCCTGCCTGAACAGAGAAATTCACCCAGCTGGCCACAAAAGGAATGTTCTACTCCTTGATCAGACCCCATGTTCCCTTAATGAATAGATTGTATCCCTGCCTGATTCCTTAACTGCAATGCAAGTCCACCTCTCCACCTCCTACCAAGGTAACTTCTCCCTCAAGATACCCCACATGACTCTTAGAGTTGAATTGCAGAACTCAGCTGACAGCATCCCTACCTCTAGTTCTGGGCACTAGAGAATTAGTAAATCACCTTCAGTTCCAAGAGGGATGAAGTCCCTAGGCTTAGGAGGCTATTCTGCTCCCACTCTCCTACTAATCCTGGGTTGGCACATACAAGCCTAAATATAATCCTGGCCAGGCTAAGGATCTTCATTTGCTTCACATAGGACCAGGAAGAGGCACCATTATTAAGAAATATGAATCTCTCTCATTGACACTGGACCCACCCTTCAGTCCCTAACAATACTCCTTGCTACTGGGAGGAGGGCAGGCCAAAGGATCTGCAACACCAAGTTCATTAACAGGAAATCAGAAAGGGGAATAAGGTTCAGAGGGCAAGTTGATCCTGAACCTCCCCTTATAAAAGTGAGGCAAGGATTTTCAGGTTGTCACCTGTTCTTTCTCACCAAAACAAAAACAAAACAAACAAACAAAAAATCCTTTCAAAATTGAGATGGCTGATGCTGTGACCACCCAGTGCCACCAGGATCACAAAAGGGCATGGCAAAGAACTCAAAGTTCAGGCTTGACACCAATTAATGCAAGAGCCCTCTTGCAACGAAAAGGCTCCATGGATTCCCTACCCCTCACCAATCCCAAACTGATGAGGGCCCCGTGGCTAGCCTATGCATACACAGAGGTATTTTAAATTAGTCCTGTGTAGAGACTCAAGTGAAGTTTGTTTAACAGCTTCATCACCAGTTAGGGTCCCTAGCTGTCCCAAAGATTCACAGTGTCCTGATCTTGCTCTGTTCCCAAGTGGACTTCAAGCTACCACTGCCTCAAGGAGGAATAAAATCCTTAAGAGGCAGAAAATCCACTGCGGGAGAGAACCACTTCTGCCCTGAGGCAAAATTCAAGGATCTACTAGAATCCTACAGGGTCCCTAGGAATCAAGGAAGACTTGGAGGCTCAAATGAACTGCTGTCAGGCCCTGCAGGTAGCTGGAAACAAGACTAAATCTCACTTGATTTCAATTATATTCAAACCAAAAGAGGAAATGAAGCAAAGCCGAATCTCTTTCTGGGTCCCCTCCCAGCCATCCACCCTCATCAGGCAACTGTCACTGTATTGAGTACACAGAGAGACACATAAACACAAACAAATAAGCTCCGGCTGGACCTGCCATCTCAAACAGTTCACAATGAAAACAAACACATGCTCAGGAACCAGTCTTCCTATCCATGCCATCTCAGGCAAATCGGAGGAAAGCTTTCTCCTACCACCTTCTGCATTCTGCAGTTTATGGATGCCACTACTTACCAAAGCCCAACTTGGGAAACACTAAACTTGCCAGCCCCTACTTGCCCAAGACAACAGCAGAATGTTGTTATTGGCTGCCATCATGTCAGTCCCGAATCCTGATGACCCCATGCACAAGGGAACACTGAAACACTATCCCCATGACCAAATGCAGATCCATCCATTGTGATTCATAGGTTTTCAACGACTGATTTGCAGAAGCAGATCACCAGGCCTTTCTTCCTAGTCTGTCTTAGTCTGAAAGTTCTGCTGAAACTTGTTCAGCATCATAGCAACACATAAGTCTCCAGTGAAAGACCCATGATGACAGTGCATGAAGCCCATTGGCTAAGAGTCAAACCTGGGTCTCCCCTCAAGTGAGCATTTTACCGAGCTACCAAAGACTTCACTATATGATGTGACTACAGCAAAAAGGACAATACAGATCTAGTCTAATCCTCTCTATTTACAGTTAGAGAGATGAGGCCCAGGGATAGGTGCAGAGTCAGCATAAGTAAGAGTAAGAAATCCTGATTCCCTTTCCAGTGGTCCTTCTAAGCTCATCAGCAAGTTCCAAGGGGCCTAATGGCTCACATGGGGTCACTGGTTGGGGAGTAAGTCAAGAAAATCTTCCTAAAGGAATCTTAGATCATTGCCTGATACTGATAGCAGGGAGAGGTTCTGAGAAAGGGAGGTAGAAGTGGGGAGAGGAACCATCTATCAACATGAAAGAAAAGAATTAGAGAGCATCAGAAAACTCCTGGGGATCAATCTGCCCAATTCACCTAATTCAGATCATCAAAGTGAGGCACCTCCAGGACTGCCTCTTTCTCAGGGCAGTGGCCCACTGGGGTTCTACCCCTACAATGACCTCCAGAGGAGATGGCTGGGGCCCAGGGCAAGTTTCCACAGGAAAGAGAAAAGAAACACTGATTTTTTGGAGTTTAAAATGAGGAAAGAAAAAAGGGGAAATTCACCACAGATCCCCCAGAGGTGCTCTGGCCTAAAACCTCTGCTGTGCTAGAGAGGAAGGAAGAATATGGAGGAAGCCTGGAATTCCCTTTGAGTTGAAAAAGTTCAGTTGTTCAATTAGGAAGAGTCTAGGCCCCAAAGAGTCTCTCTCAGCCTACAGAAGGGAATAAACCCATGAACACCTAGTACGATATTAGATGAAAAGTTATTTTTTTTATATTGCCTTATTTCAGAAAGGCTCTAAAGCTGCTGATCTTTTCAAATAAAAACTATCTTTCTGGAGGGAGCCAGATATAAAAGGGCTAAGGAGCAAGGAATTGGTCCAATCAATGAGAAGCCAGTGAAGGTTTAGGGGGCAACACACATGGGTAAGTCAAATTCACCAAGCTGTGTTTAAAAAAAAAAGGGGGGGGTGGTGGTAAGAGAAAGGGAGAGCTGGAATTGAGGAACAGTTGTATGAAAGGTGAGACAAGGTTGAGCTAGAGCCCTGGCCGTGGGAACAGGGCAGCTGGTTGGGAGAAGCCCTGCAGGACTAAGAATGGCTGGCAAAGGAGGACAACCAGATACCAGGCCTGATTACTGTCAGGGAAAAGGAGTTCTGGTGGCGCTGTGGTTAAGGCATTTGGCTGGTAACCAAAAGGTCAGTGGTTTGAACCCATCAGCCGTTTTGCAAGAGAAAGATTTACAGCCTTGGAAACCCTATGGGGCAGTCCTACCCTGTCCTATAGGGTCCCTGTGAGCCAGAATCAACTTTATGGCAGTGAGGTAGGTTTCTGTCAGGGAGAATGAGGAAGATTAAATGTTTATTTGTGGGCAAATATCACCTCCTAAATATCGGCTTCTGAAAACGCTGTGTTTACCCCCACTGCAAAGAACTTTTAAGCTTAAACCAAACCAAACGCACTGCCCTTGAGTCAATTCTGACTCATAGTGACCCACACTGGGTTTGCGAGGCAGTAAATCTTTATGGAAGTAGACTGGCCTTCTTCCTTCTACAGAGTGCCTGGTAGGTTTGAACCACCAACCTTCTGGTTAGCAGTCAAATGCAGGGCCCACTCTCATCCACCTGCTGTCCTTCATGTAGCCAACTAGAGTAGGGCATTAGGTCTCAGGGCAGACACTGCCTCCTTATGGAAGAGCAATGTTCTCACTACATTG